TTCATCAACCTCCCACACCTGAGACCATGCAGGGAACAAGAGTCACTGCTGCTGGTTCACCTCTGCTGCTGTTTCTCTGCTCCGTCCCATCTCCTCGGGCAACGCTACACCAAGTCTGGGCCTCTTCACCAGGGTCCTCAGCAAGCTGGCCAAAGCCACCAATGATCTCTCCATCCCTCATTCCACAGCTCCTAACCCACAATGGAGATAGGTGGCTGCCATCCCCAGGCAGCAGCAGTCACCCCGACCCCATGGAAGCCAGAGGGGCCCGGCTGGGCTGGACTTGGGGGACAGAAATGCAGCCGCCCGCATTTATTTTGCCTAACAACAGTGATCCCTCTGTATATTTTCATTCTGTTTTCCTAGGCTCAGCTGCCTCCTCAATGAAATGTTTCCAAAGCAGCCTGGCTTGGCAGCACGCCAGCCCCGGCTGCCAGATGAATGGGCGGAGGAGGAGGGACCCATTCCTCTTCTTGACACAGCATCGCTGCACAAGAGGCCTCTGTTGACATTAGGACTGGCTGTTCCCCCTCTCCCAAGAGGATCTGCCTGGCCCTCTGTAGGAGCAGCATACAGGGCCAAGGCTTCATGTGATGTGAAACTGGCATCTCTCTTCCTCCAGAGTGGTGGTACAGCCACAGACACCAGGGTACCAAGCACTACCAGGACCTGAAATCAGCCCTAGTTTCTGGCCCTGGACCCCCCCAGCTGAGCCAGCCCCCCTGAAAGGTGAGGATTCCTTGAGGCTCCTTGACTGCTAATACCATCGCTCTCCAAGACAGTGGTGACGTAGAGAGCCTGTTACCTTCCCCAAAACACTTCTCCTCCACCCCACCAGGAGCAAAGCTCTCCCTCAACATCGCAGGACTGCAGACATGACACAGAATTTGCAGAGCTCCAGGTCTCTGGCATCTTTCAGGGGTGAGTAATGTCACAGGGGTCCCAAGCAAGCCCAAACCCTTCAGGCCTTCGGACAATAATATATGGAGTAGCATCAGCTTCACCCTAAACCCTTGCCATTACTCAGTCATGCAGGACTTCACCCAAACAGTGTCACAGCTCTTTCCCATACCTCAGTTTCTCTACCCAAAGCAAAATGCCAAGCCAGGCCTTCAGGGCTGGGAATTCGCCTGCTGGGAGGTAACCAAATGGTAGCAGTTGCACTGGACTAAACACCCAGCACCAGATGGGATCCCTCAGCAAGGGAATGCAAATCCTTGTATGCCCCAGTCATCACCCCTCACCTCTTTGCCAGGGACACCTTTAGGAGCCAAGCAAGAAAAGGATGGGGAATTTAACACAGGTGAAGTGCTGATGAAACATCAGGAGGCAAAAGAAGGAGATAAATCCATCAGCATTCTGCCAGTCTGCACCTCTTCCCTCTGACTGGCTCCTCTGGCATCTCCTGCTGGTGGCCAGCACCCAGGTGAGGCAAGGCAAGGACCAGAGGCTGGACAGAGCAGCACCCAGCAGCACACCACAGGGACACAGCCTGCTCCTACCAGCCTTGGTGAGGAGAGGGCTCTGCCTGGATCTGGTGGAAAAGAGGCCAACCACACATTGATAAGATGAATTAGTTGTCTCAGCAGCACCGGCAAAATGAGCGAGAGGAGCGGAGCCCGTGAGGCCCGGCCTGCTTTGTTTCAATTACAGCAGCTGCCAGAAGAAAAAGATAACCTCAATATTGATGGCAGGAGCAGCAGACAGAGGTGCCCTTGCAGGCTACTGGAAGCAGGTAGAGGAGGAAGGGGGAGGAGAGATGGAGGAGGGAGAGCAGAGTCTCAGTCAGTAGTCCATGGGAGAGCTTGGCTGGCTCCCCCAGGCTGATGAAAAAGACCCTTCTGTTCTTACTGGCCTCATCCCCATGAAGAACAGCTTCTCTTCACCCTGGTTCTTGTCCCAGTCACTGGGCAGAGCATTCTCCAGCAGAGGCAGGCTGGAGGGGGGCAGAAATCCAGCTCAGAGCATCAGCAGTAGGACACACACCACACATGGCACCTCATAACGCTGAGCAGAAAAACATCTCTTTGCTCCCCACTCAGGCTGTGGGGCCTGGAAAGGAGGTGGGCAGCTCAGGGAAGGTTTTGAGTAGGGCTGTGTGGGATGATGGATGGAGCTGGAGTAAAGGGCAGATCCAGGCCTGGGGGTGGCCCACGGTGCAGGCAGGTGTGACTGCCTGCCAAGGACACAGCACCCAATTTCCTGAGGGCTGGGGAGCCCCAGGGTGTGCTCACAGCAGGGACCAGTCTGGGCACTGGGGACAAGATGCCCACGATGACTTTGGGCTGCATGTGGGAACAAACACCAGCCTGGGGCAGGCACCCCAACACCACACCTACAAGGCAGAGATGGAGGTGCCGAGCCAAACGTCCTCCTGGCAGCACAGCACTGATGCCCTGTGCTCCCATCCTGGCAGGAGGAAACCAGAAGGTTTGAAGAGGTGGAGTCTCTTCGGTCTTCAACCCCTTTACCTCCAACCAACCCCTGCCCAGGGGATGTAAATCACCACCAGCTGCTGCATCACGGGATCTCCATTCAGCCCTGTGTCCCTCCCTGTTCCCAGAGCACAGACCAGCACTGAGCAAGACCCCCACCCTCCCTGGGCCCACCAGAGGCCAGACTGAGCAGTGGTCACTTCACAGAGGTTTTATTTGTACTCTGGATATCCGCATCACCCTCCCACCTCGCTTCCCCCAGGAGAGACCCCGGGATCCTCACCCCTTCCTCCCAGGGCTGGGGGCCCTTCCATACAGCCCCTGGGTCTCCAAGAGGGGACAAGGCCACCATCTTGCGGCCACCCACCACCACTGCACATACCCGTGTGCACGGTCTGAGGGGTCCCCAGGATGTGACAGCTATGGGGGTATGGGGTTTGGACCATGGGGAGCTGTGACATCCCACCACTTCTTGTGCACTCCTGGGACCATGTCCTGCAGGGCACACACTGTCCCTCCCCTCGCTCCCTGGCCAGGACACCCACGGGTGCCCCAGAAGTGTTGGGATGGGCAGAGGGTGCTGGCAGTGCTGCTTCCATCCCAGCTCTGGCCCCTCCATCCCTGCCCTGCTGCTCCATGCAGTGTCAGCCAGCAGTGACCAGGGACCTCCTGGTTTGCACAGCGGGCTTCATTGAGCATGGAAAGGCAGACAGCAGCAGAGGAAGGCTCAGAACTGAGCCCCGGGGTGGAAAATGCAGCACTGAGCAGGGTCCGAGGGAGATTTCCATCGCTACCACAGTGTGGGAGTGTGACCCACATGGGGGATGCTGGAGGGAGTTGTTGTACCAGTGCTGCTGGTGACCAGCAGCCCAAAGCAAGTCCTTCCTCGCCTCTGTGAAGTGAGTTGGGGTGTTCTGCACACTACCGGGTTCTGCAAGGCTGCCCAGCCTGGCTTAGTGCTCATTCCCCTCCTTCTGCTTCTTCCCCTTGTGATGGAGATGATCATGGTCCCCATGGTGGTGGTGAGGATGGGCAGCAGGTTCGTGGTCCCCACTTGGGTTTGTGGCTCTCTCATTGCTGACCTCATGGTGGCGATGAGGATGGAGGGGCTTGTGCTGGTGGATGGGGGTCCCTGACTCCTTCCCTTCATGTTCAGGAAGCGGGCTCGGGGTTACAGGGACCTCCATGGTACTGTTAGCCTGAGGAAAGTAACACAAGGACTGGTGTGGAATGTGAATGCCCACAGAGCCCTGCAGAAAGCCTGGGAGCACGGCTGTGAGCTGGGATGAAGGCAGAGCAGCATGCGTCATACAGAAAGCTGTGGGTCAGAGCAAAGGCTCTCCAGCCCTGGCCCAGGACACAGAGAGGACAGAAGAGGCTGGAGCACACAGGACACAAGCCTCTGTACCCGAAACCCTTGGCTCAAGCTGTCAGTGGTCCAGAGAAAAGGGCCTTTGCATTTAATATTTCTGGATGGATTTTTCTCCTAGGAAGTGACTAATTGCCTGCTGAGCTCAGAGCTGTGTCCTTTTCTTTGCTCTGAGCTTGCCACTTCTGCATGCACTGCCTGCCCCTTTCTTATATGAGAAGAGTCCTAGTTAGCTTTCCCAGACCTGGGCTATGACCCCTTTAGTCCATTCTTTCTCAGTCTGAAAGCTCTGACCTATTTAAGTGCCCTTATTCCAGACCTTTCATCACCTTCCCTCTAAACCACTGCCAAGGGCAGCTGCCAACCCCAGAGCCTGTCCCCAGTATGGAGATAACATTGTTTCTCATGGTGTGCAATGCCAGAGGAGAGAAGGAATCCCAGCTCCAGTGAGCATCCCTGCTCTTACCTCCTGTGTAGTGTTGGGGTAGAGGGAGCAGTTGCCGCAGAAGTCCTTGCTGTGGGTGAAGCGGATGGCCGACTCCACGTAGGGGAAGTAGAGGAAGCTGAAGGGCAGCTGGATGTGGAAAGCCAGGCGGCCGCACCTGAGAGGAGAAGCCATGGCCTGGCTCGAGATGGGGTTTTGGGTTCCCCCCAGCCCAGCCATGGGAGGAGATTTTGGAAGCCCACCAAGAGCTCTGTAACCCCCAAGAAAGCCTCAGGCGAGTCGGGGGCCACTCACCGGTCATAGACAAGGAAGTCGTCCTTGTCGCC